TACAGAAGGCGGTCAAGCACCATAAATAACAATACCGTAATCAAACAGTTTCTTTGATTGTAAGCTTCAGGAAATGACATTTTTTAATTAAACACCCGCAGAGTAGCAGGTTTCTCACACATACCCACAATCTAGGCTTTATTCATCATTTTACACAAGTGACAAACAGAAATGTTTCATGGGTTGAAGGTGGTTGCTTCATCTGTGTTCCAGAAAAACCAGATAAGACTGAAGGGCTTTAGTCTGGCTGACTTTACTATTTATTACACAAGCTGTATTTCAGGTTCCAAAAGAAGTGTGTGAAGGAAGTACTGTAGCTGCAGTGGAGTTCAGATAGGGATGCATTAACTGACATTTACTGATAACATTAGTGCATGACATTATAATGCTGAGTGAGGCTTTGTTCTCATCGAAAAGTCTTTGGTTTGTACTGTATATCTGAAGAGGAGGATCTGTTATGTCTTCCAACCAGCTTCTTTATCATTTTAGCCACCAGGTTGACTGATAAGAGAATTAATAAGAAACAGACACCAAAGTACGTACATAAATTCTCATTTTAAAACCTTGACTGTGACAGATAAAAACATATGTTTAAAAGTTTTAATTCAGAGAGCTGCTAACAAATGATCTGAGCAAAATAAATTAAACTTAAGCGAGACTATGCAATGTACAGTATGAAATGTAATGTATGAATTCATAAGCAGTAAAACACAACCTTATACATCTCAATAAACAGAAATTTTGTCACTTCAGCCTTAATTGGTCTAGTATGGCCAATATTTTAGGCACATTAGTTGTAGCTAATATTAGCAAGCATAAAGCAATAGCTTTGGGAAATAGTCTTTCTTGCCAAGAGCTAAATGAGGATATTGATGAACACTCATATATTCAACTGTTCCTTTCAGCAAGATGCCGTGTGACATTGAGTCTTTATCAAACGTCACACTTTATGCTACTTGTGTGCCGGTTGCACTAAATTTTAGCATGTTTACAGATAAAAGAAATACAATTTTGTCTTTAAAGTGTTTGACTAAAGAAGGCAAATTCATTGTGTAATGATTGTCCTATAATTACTGACAGTTATCAGTGTTCAGCAAAAGTAACAGTTTCATGTTTTTAGTAATCTTGGCATCCGCTGAGGTGCATGTACACACACAACTCAGGCCAGACAAAAGCACGCCATGACTTTTAACAATCTATCACAGTTCACAGTACTTTTGTCCAGCTATTTGGCATAAGGGGTCTATACAGTAGAAAAAAAATAACATTTTGCCTTCTTTGGAACACAACATGGTATTTTCTTTCTTTCTTTCTTTCTTGCATGCATTCACAGATTTCACACAGATACATTTACTCTCTTACACTATTACTTTACTGAAACAGCTTAAAAAACACTAGCAAAATGGTGGCCACAAGGCTGTGCAAAAGGGAAGACCTCCGATTTAGGCCCTGCCATCTGTCTGTCTCAGCCATCTCTTGCAAGTAACAAACTACAAAATAGCACCATTATACAGTGGATAGGATTTTTAATACAATTTTGTTATATGAAACCATCATGTACAATGAATGATAGTAATGCATAGGTTAACATAAATGGGAGTACTGTTTGATTACACACAGGCAGAGGCAGAGATGAGATGTCTTGGGCGGCTTGTGCAATAAAATGACTAAGTCTGCATGGAGGCTTGAACAAAAAGCCATTGCTATCAGTCCACATGCAAGGACTTCTTAGAAACAACTTTTCATGAATGATGTGTGCATGCTTGACCCTTGATCATAACTCTTACACAACTCATTTACACTGGGTGCTTTGTATGTGTGTTTGTGTACTGTTATATGTGTGCTGTATCTTCCATCTCCAGGAGAACTGGTCATTTTGGTGTGCAATATTTACCAAATTGTTTGATCTGCGTCTCTGTCTGGTGGACTTTGCAGCAGATCCTGTGGTGTTTTGTTGTACTCTCGCCATCGTGACAGATAAATACAGCCAAAGCGACAACTAAAGTAGCAAAGTTCTCAGCCTCACTAAACTAACAAAATATCACAGGCTAAGATCAATTAATAATTACGCTTCCCCATCTAGGTGACTAGTGTTACAGCCTCTCTATTGTTTCTTTTGACCTTTGGTATTGACAGATCTGAGAACATTTTACTAATTCTTCATGAGAACAGGGAAAAGCTTTTACTGTAGCTGATTTTATTGTTTGTTTTTTAAGCGCTTGTTGACTTTGCAGTGATAAAATTCTCACGACTTAACCTTGAACACAGGCCTCCACTCAGACTAAAATGTTGATTACCGGGTAACTGGATTGTTGTCAGATTTGGCCAGACTGGTGCCATGTGAAAAAGATGCAGACGGCAAACATGCTGCTTTATTGTTGCTTTTTGACTTCCACTCACCTTTGCCAAATGCACTTTGAATCCACTGAATGACCCATTTCTGACAACCAAGCCAAGCACCAAAAACACTTAAATTCAATGTGCTTGTGGCTTTCTTTTGTGTTTGGTGCAATGTTAACAATATAAATTTTTTAGTACAAACTGTACTTCCCCTCTAATTGTGCTAGATCTGTTGTCATACAATTAAGTATTTGGATTGTGACATCAGTCCTCTGAGGCTTAGCAAGGATTTGGATTGGACTCAAATCTTCTAACAACTCTATTTGAGAGAAGAACTGTGCCTTCAGTCACTGAGAGTAGGTATCTGACTTGGGCTCAAGGTAAAATAACTACAACAATGATTGAAATCTGATGATGAGAACACCTGGTCTTTGTCCTTAAAGCAAACATTGTTTTATTCTTTTAAAATTGTCCTCAGTGATGCATGGTGCATAAACACAAACTTTGATGGTAAGATTATCAAATTTGAACTAGGATAGTAACCGTTAAATGTGATAGGTCATAAAGTATCTTGCTTTACCAAAGAAGTGAATGAATTCAGTTTTTCAGAGTAAAAGCATTTACCTCCTCAAAGTTCAGGGGACAGGATGGACCACTCATTTTTAAACACAGCCTGCTGCCCTCTGGTTGGCTGAAACCCAGATCCATTCCCACCTTTCTTGGAGACAGAGGATGCTGCAGCTCATACATGGAGGTATAATAAGCTCTTACTGGTGTCTCAGCAGCTAAACTAGTCTGTTACATTGCATTTAACAAAGAGTTCCTCCCACTATCAAATGGTGCAGTGTATAAAGTAACCACAAGGCCCCTCATTAAACCCTTTAACAACACTTAGCTCTCAAGTTTGAATCATTTTGAAGAGCTTTTCAGACCACTGCTCACATCCTCTTTGTTTTGTTTTACAGTGAACCATTCCACAGGGGTACCAGGTAAGGCCACTCCCTTCTTTCTTCCCAAACCACTGGGCATTTGTCCATTTGCTCCTTCCCTACATTCTGTAATTTCTGCCACCTGTGCTGCCTCGACTTGAGTTTCTCTGATGCATTTCCTGCAGAAAAAGAGAAACATATTTTTAGACTTAAATATAGGATTTAAAATATGGGTCTGGCATCTGTATCTATACCCCCAAACAGCTGTTCCTTGGATGATGAAAATTCATTTTTGCCATAAAATCAGTATATCATTAGTGTTCATTTTGACCTGTGAAATTGACTGGTACCCCGCCAGGCCTACCCCATGCACTTATATTGGGATGATGTCATAAAACTAAAACTCTTTTTTCTAACCTCTGGGTAAAGTTTTACAAGTAGAGAACCCCCATCAATTAAATTCATAATAGAAAGAATAGGGCTGTTTGTAGTTCAATATATACAGTATGTAGATCAATACAGAGAGTCACCGATGGGAAAACATTCGCACGAAGGCTGATGTACTGTAGTTCTATTAATACATCTATGGTTGTCGCTTATGTTGCTGGGTTACTGACAATCAAAGCTCAGAACTATCTCGTGCTTCAGTTAGTAGCAGCACGAAGGTTAACAGAAAGTTTCCAAATGTCATTCAACAGCTATAAAGTAAACCACCCACCCGCATACAGTAGGTCCAAAAATGGTTTTATCTTGGAACAGAAAATTAAGCACAACAGCTGTCATGTTACTGCAATTTATTTTTCCTGACACAAAAAGGGAGGATAATTCAAATTTAAGTTTGACTTAAAGAGAAAAAGAAGAGAATTTATTATGCAACACAACTGTTTAAAGTGTGCCACAATTCACAACAAGGAGTGATGCACATTGTGAGACACTAAATGTGATATATGTGCTTCATCTCCGGACTTTGCATTAATCTGTTATGGTGAGATGCCAGAATTTCAGCACATAATGTACAGTAGCAGGGTAAAGAATCTACCTGGAGAGCGGGAGTGCCACTGGGTCTACCACAGAAACCATTTAGTTCCTTCTCTTGCTAATGGCTTTCTTTTTTGAGAGAAGGGTAAAAGACACACAGTCAAATTTTAAAAGGATCACACTCTCCTGCTGGATGGCAACTCGAGGAAAAAACAGTCTGCATTTAGACCTCACAACTTCTCTATTTGGCCAAAACATTAATAATAATTTCAGAA